TTGTGTCATTGCTATGATTCTTTGCGTTTTGTCATACAATTATGCATCTTATTCCCATTGTTCCATATTTGTCTTTCTTGTTTCTTTCTGTTGCTGATGCTTTCCTAACAGGCCTTGTTGTTTTCTTCAGGAAGTGAAGGTTAATCTGGATGGTGCAAAGATACAGATGTTTGTGTGTTTAAAAAAAATTGATCAAACTATCATTTCCGAGAAGGTTCTTTGCGCATTCAGTGAGTGTGTCCATTTGAATTGGATTTGATAGAATTTAACTTTTTTTTAGATCGCACAGATTGTGTTGTTTCATGTGACAGTTGGTTGATTCAGGAACTATGCTATTGAGCTCCCCCCCATGCTAGGCAGGGGATGCGGTAGCATAGGGTCCGGATCAATTAACTGTGACGCATTTTCATCATGCTATGCATTCATTTCATTACCACAGTCGTATATGCAGCATAATTATGCATTCTTCATTCAATATTTAGTTCATCATATCATCATTATGCTTCATCTATGCATAACATCATTCCGCATATGCATTATGGAATTAACAGTCACCTGTGTCATAGTACACATCATTTCGGCAAAGGCGAACCAAGAAATGAGAAGGAATTTGGTACGACACGTGCTAAATACATGAGAGTCAAGTCACTTAGTTACCGACACTACGGTAGATTTTTTTCATCCTTATTTTTTCAATGCACAGAAGATGAAAAAAAAATTGTACATAACGATTGTAATAGGTTGCTTTTCAACCCAAAAAACAAAAAAAAAGAAGGCCTCCTGTATTGGTGTTGTTATTCATTGGGTTTTGAGTTGATCACGCACACTTACTGAAACTATTCGCCAAAATCGCTGCACTGTAGCTTCTGGCGCAACTTTTTTGCCAGTTTTTCGCTCATGGCGCAGAATCAGCTCCTTTCAACGAAGTTCATTCATCATTGGCCAAATTATCGACGGACCGACAACTTTGCCTAAATTAACGGCCTGCGAACCGTCTAGAACTGCTTTTGGGTAGACAAAAATATAAACCCCTCTCGGATGGAATGTTGTTTAAGGAGGCATCAACCCTAAACACAATGCGGAAGTGTTTAGGTTGATGCCCTAAACAATCGGTTCAATTGTTCGCGATGTGTATTATTTTTAGATAGCAAGCACCAAGGGATTCATCAACCCTAAACACCATATATTGGGTGTTTAGGGTGTCAGAATGTTATCTTTGTTCTCTAGCCTGCAATGGGGTACTCTATAGCGAGTACAACCCCTTAGGGTTTCCTATATGTATCCTTTTTCTTGCTAGTGCAACCCCCTTTTTTTTCTTAAACTATTCTTGCCTAGCTATTGCGCCTTTACTCTACCACTTATTTTCACATGGTATCAGAGCAGTAAGCTCCTGGCCTGTGGGCCTTTCCACACTCCTTCCGCTGCAACTGCTACTCTCCCTTTCTGCCGTGCGCCCCAAGGCGCGCGGCGGGTTTTTGCCCCGTCACGCCGTGCGCCGCTCCCAGGAGGCACTGCGACGGGCGACGGGGACCTCCGCGTCGCCCCCCGTTGCCCGTCGTGGCCTCCGCGCGGCCCGTACAGCCTGCGCGCAGCACGTACGAGCCGCGCGAGACCCGTCTGCGGCCCGTACGGGCTGCGCCAGTACCGCGCGCGGCTCGGGCCGCCTGCGCGCGGGTCGGGCGCCTGTACCAGGCCCGTTGGCGGCCCTTTCTTCACTCCCCCTTCACCCTCCCTTAGTACCACTCCGACGGCTCCAGCAGGTCCACCCCCCCTTAGCGGCAGGTGCAGCACTGGGAGACGGAGGAGGAGGAGGAGCAGAGAATGGCACACAGAAGTTGCACCCCCATACCCCTCACCCCTTAACCCTAATCCAAAGGAATGGGCAGAAGAAGGGGTGGGGCCCAAGAAGAGGCACACGGAACAGCAGGTAGGGCAGGGGCAGTGCACTGACAGAGGCGCTGCTCTTACCAGACAGGGTAGTTCGGGCAGCTCGGCAGCACAGCAGCTCGGCAACACGGCGGCTCGGGCGACTCGGGTGGCTCGGCAGCAACTGCAGCTCGGCGGCACCCGCGACTCGGGTGGCTCGGCAGCAACTGCAGCTTGGCGGCACCCGCGGCTCGGCTCCTCGGCTGCTCAGGCGGCTCGGGCGGCTCGGGCGGCTCGGGCGGAACGGGCGGCTCGGGCTGCTTAGCGGCGCAAGCGGCTCGGCTGCGTAGGCGGCTCGGGCAGTAGGGGACAGGGCCGGGACCGCAGGTAGTGCGCCGGGGCCGCAGGTAGGGCGGCGGGGCCGTTGGTAGGGCGGCGGGGCAGCAGGTAGGGCGGCGGGGCCGCAGGTAGGGCGGCGGGGCCGCAGGTAGGGCGGCGGGGCCGCAGGTAGGGCGGCGGGACCGCAGGTAGGGCGGCGGGGCCGCTGGTAGGGCGCCGGGGCCGCAGGTAGGGCAGCGGGGCTGCAGGTAGGGCGGCGGGACCGCAGGTAGGGCGGCGGGGCCGCTGGTAGGGTGGCGGAGCCGTAGGTAGGGCGGCGGGGCGGGGCCGTAGGTAGGGCGACGGGGCCGGGCTGTAGGTAGGGGTTAAGCAGCGGGTGTGTGTCAAGGGGGGTGGGACTGTTTGGGGAGGTTGATCGGAGGTTGCCGTCGTGTCGCTAGCAGCACCTGTAGTCCGAGGAGTTGCTCCGGTAGCTTAGTAGTAGCCACCTGTGCCAGTCGCCCGTGGGTCCGTTGCTCGTCTGCCGCTACTTTTAGCCGCGGGGCCAGTTACTCCAGTATTCCGGAGCAATGTTCCGGTAGCCGCTGTGCCAGTGTGCCTCCTGTTGCCCGTGTGTATGCAGCTTCAGTCGTTGCCTCCTATCTCCTCTCCTCTTACAGTCTCGCCTCCTCCTCCTCACTTGCCCTATGCGATAGCCTCTAGCTTTGCTCATAATTGTAAACTTTAAACTATTTCTTCTTGACCTTGTGCTCAGAATGTGTGGTGACATTGTGATCCACCCTGAGCTTGTTCTGTTTTGCTTGCTCTGCTGATTACACCCCACTTTGGCTATGGGGGTGTGTCAGAATGTTATCTTTGTTCTCTAGCCTGCAGTGGGGTACTCTATAGCGAGTACAACCCCTTAGGGTTTCCTATATGTATCCTGTTGCTTGCTTTTGCAACCCCCTTTTTTTGCCTGAACTATTCTTGCCTAGCTAGGTCTTTCCTAGCTATGGCGCCTTTACTCTACCACTTATTTTCACATAGGGTTGATGCTCTTTCTCCATGGGTTATTCAATTTTCGAGCAGGTAAAAAGCCAGAATAAAGAGTTGCTGTTCTCACTAATAGTAAAACTAGTTGGCCTCTAGCGTTCTGACAGGTGGTCCAATGACCATCGAACTGCGTTGAAAGGAGCTAATTCTGCGCTTTGAGCGAAGAACTGGCAGAAACCCTGCGTCACAAGCTACAGTGCTGCGCTATTGGCGTATAGTTTCAGTAAGTGTGCGTGATCAACTCAAAACTCGTATTCATTCCAGCGAATCAGCTTCCAGACATTTGTGCTTTCTAGAAGCCTCCTGTATTCGAGCTGAACGCCAACATTTTGCCAGCATTTTTGCCTGCGTCGCGTAGATGATCGTTGGCGCTGATGGCACCCCATGGGGATGAGGTGCTGAAGAGAATTTAGGCTCTCAAACTACCAGCATCCTCCGATGCCGAGAAGCATCATGAGGTGCGAGTGATGCCGCAGAGAGCGAGACATCACATCACGATGTTTCCCAGCCAATTCCCTCGATTCGCACCACCACACCCTCCTTAGGAAACAACAAAGGAACAGCCTAACCCTCGCGCTCTATGGCGGTATTCGCCAGCACATCTAAAAAAAGAAAGGCCTCGGAATGGCCGTGGCATCACGAACCAGAGGAGGAACCTCCCGAATAGGCATGAGGGGAATGGCCAAATCGCGAAATTTCGCGCCAGAAAGGGGAAGGGTGGCAACAGGATCAGGAACCACCCTGCCCACCTTCCGATTCCCCATTCCCCCCCTCCACATCCTTCCAATCCCATGGCCATTCCAAGGAAATTTTGCTTGGGGGGGGTGAATGGCGATGGAATGGCAACGGGACCCACGTTTGCCTGTAGAGGAAGCTCCCGACCCACTTCTTCACGATTCCATTCGAAATGAATGAAAAGGAGGGCGTTCGACAGGCCAGCATGATTTCGTTTGGTTCGGATGGATCCATAGGCTCGTCAAGAATCTCGCGGGCTGACCTGCTTGACGGACCCTAACGAACCCTAACGGACGGGATCAGGAAGCCGAGACTGACCATCCTGATCCCGTCATTTTTGTTGTTAAAAGTGCTAGCGGTCAACGCCTATCTCTCTCTTTTTCATCTTCAAAAATTTTCCCTCACCCACCAGATCGTGGACGTGGTTGATCTGCTACCCGGCCCCGTCTGGCATATCATCTTCTGCTTCCTGCTGCTACCACCATCTCACCAGGGACGCAGACCCTGGCGTGGCGCTCGGCTTTTGAATCGACTCAAAAATAAACTGCGAAACAGGGGTAACTCTCCCCCCCGCGCATCGCAGCAGGGAGGAGGAGAAGGCAGCTCGTCGCCGGGTGCGACTGGGACTCATTGTTGAAATACATTTCTTATATAAACTGGTTGTAGCAATAGTTAGTGTAGTGTTACATTGTTGGTGGTGCACCTTGCTAGCTTTGTTTGCTATATGTACCCTTGAGCCTGTAGTGAACACATCACTTCTCCTTCACAACTCTCTCGACTTCCTCTTGGCCTAGGCCACTAAGCTTAGGCCCCACTTAAAACTCAACTACCACTTATGCTCCTATCTCAACACTCATAGGAGTCGACTTCTGAGCCGACTCAAAAACAAGTTGCAGAATAAGCTGCAGAACCTAGGTAGCTCTGCGGGCGCATCGCAGCAAGGAGCAGGAAGTGCCTCCATCATGGAGCAGCAACAAGCGGAGGCTTTGAGAACCTTCGACTCCTGCTGGCCTCTGCTGCGCTGCGCCATGGTCAGCAAGAGGCTCCTTTATCATGTCGCCTCCTTCTTCGTGAGTCATCATCATGCGTTCCCCCTTCCCCCTTCCTCCTTCTTCGTGAGCCATCATGCACTACGAGCTAGTTCCCGCATTCCAACTCCCTAATGCGCTTCTTCCCTCATTCGTCCCACCAGCCCCTTCACCACTATTTGTGAAATTCTTCTTTGGGTGCTGAGCTCTGCGGTCACGGCAAAGCTCCGTCAACCATCTTCCTGTCCGTCTCTCTCTCTCTCTCTCTCTCTCTCTCTCTCTCTCTCTCTCTCTCTCTCTCTCTCTCTCTCTCTCTCTCTCTCTCTCTCTCTCTGTCACACCATGTGCGAGCAGGACTTCCAGCCCATGACGCTGCCTATCAACTCCCAAGACCCCGCCACCCTCACACCTCCCTCGGGAACGCTCTTTGTCTTCCTCAAGCACGCCCCCCACACGCCTCTCAATCTCGAGCTCAACAGCTCCCAGGAAATCCACTGCCTTGGCCGTCTCTTGCAGCCCTCTGCACACTCCCTCGCAAGCCTGGGCCTTGGGCTCAAGGAACCACCCGGGGGAATCGAGCCCATCATTAAGGAGAAGCACCTAATGAATCCGGCCTTTCTCGAGGAGTTTCAGCAGCTGCAGCGGCTGAAGCTGGGTCGCGGGACGTGGCAACTAGGCGGCCTGAGTCCAGCGCGGTTCCAGGGTTTGAGGAGCCTGAGCGTCCACGATTTCGTGTGCGACGGAAACGCCCTGTCCTTTCTCGCATCCCTTACACCGCAGCTGCGTGAAATCGCTCTCGCCTCCTCCAGCCATGTCCCCCCCTTCGCCCTCGATTTCAAGTTCACTGCTGGTCGAACTATCACGCTCTGCTTTGAGAAGCAAGTGCTCCACCTCCGCTGCACCCTGCCTGCCTCTTTGAAGTCCTTCTCTGCCACTGCGGCGTGTCTCAACGTGGATTGCACTTCCCCCAGCCCTCCCTCTCTCGACTCGCTCCCTCTCATTGGCTACTCGCAGCTCCTCGTTTCCTTGCTCCCATTGTCTGCCGCAAAATCCGTCTACTTGAACGGTGCAAGCCTCCGAGTGAATCGTTGGCGTATGTTTCGCTGTTCTGATGATGATTCTCAAATCGCCTTGACCCACCTGCTCAGTAGCATAACGCCCACAGTGGAGACGCTTAAAAGAAGGTACGGCTGGCCACTGGAGGGCGTGCGTGTGCAGTGGAGCCAGCTGCGGCACCTCAGCATTGGTGTGAACCGTTATAGCACTAGGGGGTTTAGTTACAGCGAAAACCCGGAGGATCCGGAAGACTCTCAGTTTTGGAGGTTCTTCGGCGGTGAAGAAGGGAGCATCATCGGAAGCAGCAGCAGCGACAGCGGCAGCAACACGTACATCGATGCTCCGAACCTCGAGTCCATCTACTATGCCACTGAGGAGTGGTAGCCGTGCGTTCTGGATGCTCTGCGCAAGCAGTTCCCTTCCCTGGCATCGTACATGATTGTTGATCCAGCGGTCCGCTGGCGCGGTAGTGATAGCGGGTGTGAGAGGAGCGGGGCAGTGAGGTTGGATTGGCGTGGCAGGTTAGTATGGGAACACAACGTGTCATAGCGGTAGCACGGGGTCAGGTCGTGTCATGGTGGTAGCATGGGGTCAGATTGTGTCATTGCGGTGGCATGGTGTGAGGTCATGTTATTGCGGTGGCATGGTGTGAGGTCGTGTTATTGCGGTGGCATGGTGTGAGGTCGTGTTATTGCAGTGGCATGGTGTGAGGGCGTGTTATTGTGGTGGCATGGTGTCAAACCGTGTCATAGTGGTACCATGAGGTCACATCATGTCACGGTGATAGCATGGGGTCAGATTGTGTCACAGCGATAGCGTGGGGTCAGATCTCGTTCCCCATGCCATGGGTCAGGGCATGGTGCAGGCAAGATGATCAGATTGGGGCATGATGAGGGTTCTTTAAAATTCCCTGAGCCTCTACATGCTTTGGGAGGAAAAAGGTATAGTGTGGCTGGGGTAGTGAGTGAGTGGAACCAATGTTCACTGGTGTGAGGGCTTCATTTGTGTGCAGGGACAAGTAGGAAGGGTTATGTGCGCTGATGGCAGTGGTGGCAATAGTGTGGCCATGGGGTGGTGTGGCCTTGGGGTGGTGTGCACTGGTGGTGGTGCACAACAGTCCCGTAACAATGGGATGGCGATGGGTGCTAGCAGTGGGGGCGGCAACAGTGGGCATAGTATGTGGTGTACAACTGGGGCAACTGATGATCATGCTGGTGACTTTTGATAGTGTTGGTGCTAGACCAGATGAGCATAGTAAAGTAGAAGGGAGGACATGAGGGCTGATTGTTATGTGTTGATGCTTTGCATTTATGCTTGTATATTAATGTGTTGTATTGATGCTTTGTATATGTGCTTGTATTGATGATATGTGTTTGTATTGATGATTTGTATATGTGCTTGCATTGATGATTTGTTTGTTTCATGATGTTACGAGTGCAATTGAGTGAGCGAGCGAGAATTGCACTATCGAAGCAAGAGTACAAATGAGCGAATGCATGAGCGAAGAATATATAGCGAAACTACAGTGGTAACGATAATGCGTGAAAATGAGGTGCGCGACGAGCCTGTCGCCGAGGTTGGGAGATGCCGAGGCAGAGGTCTGGAGCACGTGTTACCAACTGAACCGTGAGGTTGGGTCGCGTTGTGAACAGTGGCGGGAACAGTGGCGGGAACACTGTCGAGGCGAATGTCGCGAGTGGTAACGGTTTACTGTTGGGTGCTGTTGGCGGGAACAGTAATGTACGCGTTGAGCAGGGACGCGAAGTAAGGAAAATGAATTCTCCTTACGAAAGCGCGTGGAAATCTTTGAAATTTTGGCTGCGCAGATACTCTGTAAGGACGGGGTGGTTTCCGACTCTGTCCAGGGGAACCCAGTTGTCTTCGGTGGGTGTACGGTCTTTCCAGCGGATCAGGAACTCGATTCTTTGAGCTCCTCGTGGGTCACGAACTCTGTGGCTGAGAATTTTCTCGGGTGTGATGATTGGTTCGGTCGGCGATCGTATCATGCTGGCTGGGCGATTTCGTGGCAGTTGGCTTGTGGATGGTATGTAGGGGCGAAGTAGGCTGACGCGGAGGGATGGGCTGATGTACCAGTCAGCGAGGAGGAGGAGGTTGGTGATGACGGGTGTAATCATGTGGCTGATGCGGAATGGTCCACAGTATCGGGGGCAAAGTTTTGGGGTGATGAGCAGGCGGAGATTCTGGGTGTCAAGTAAAACTAGGTCGTCGGGCTGGTAAGTGACAGGTCGGCGGTGGCGGTCGGCGTTGCGTTTAGCGATGATGTTCGATTTTTTTAATTTCGTCTGCTGCCCGGATTGTGATGCTTGTAAAATTTTAGCGAAATGTTGTGCTCGTGGCTCCGGGTTGTAGGGATTCAAGGTCATGGGTACTGTCGGGTCTTGTCCGTGGTTCAGGTAAAACGGTGACTGTTAGGTCGTGGCGGAAGGTGAGTTGTTGTACGCGAACTCGATGAGTGACAGTTGCTGTTCCCAGGTGGTTGGGTCGTCGCACGTGGCTCGAATGAGTTGTTCCATGGTCTGATTTGTCCTCTCTACCTGTCCGTCGGTCTCGGGGTGGTACGAAGAACTGAACTGTAGTCGCGTGTTGCATTGCTGCCACAGGTTCCGCCAGAAGTTGCTGGTGAATTTTGTATCCCGGTTGCTGATGATCGCTGCTGGTATCCCGTGCAGTCGAATGACGATGGAGATGAAGAGGCGTGCTGTTTCTTCGGCTGTAATGATTTTTTGCAGGCTGCAAAGTGTGCCATTTGAGAAGAAGTGAACGAGAGAATGATTGAACTATGAACGAAGTGAGTACAAATAGGAAACCCTAGTTGGGTTGTACCCCCTATGGGATACCCCACTATAGCCTACACAAATAAGTAAGCTATAATATTCGGACACACCCACATAGGCAAAGTGGGGGAGTACAAGGGGTCACAAGACCAGTCAAGCAAAGCAAAGCAAAGCTCAGGGTGGATCACAAAGTCACCACACATTGCGAGCACAAGTTCAAGGGCCACAAGACCAGTTCACATGCAAGATCATATATAGAGATATACAAGAGTCAAGCAAGCAAGAACAAGAGTATATATAGGTCAAGGTACAAGCAAGGTCAAGAAGTCAGCAAGTGAGGCAAGACAGGCACAAGACCCAGCTGCGTGCAACAACGCTGATGATCACAAGGCGCAAGTGCCTTGGTGAAGACATCAGCAGTGTTGGCCTCAGAGGCCACGTACGCAAGTTGCAACTGTCCACGCTGCTGTAGCTCACGAGCAAGAAAGTAGCGGAGAGCAATGTGCTTTGTCCTGTGCTCCACTCGCTGCTCTCGACACAAGGCCAGCATGGCCTTGTTGTCTACGTACAGGACTGGAGGAGAACTAGGCGGCTCTCCAAGGTCGGTCAGCAGGTAGGTGAGCCAGCGAAGCTCCTGAGCAGCCATAGCCCCGGTGTAGATCTCAGCCTCACAACTGGAGCCGAGAACAGAAGAGGAGCGGGTAGCTCGCCACGAAACAGAGCCGGAACCAAGGCTGAAGGTGTAACCCTGTGACGACCGCTGCGTAGCCTGGTCGTCAGCCCAAGAAGCGTCCGCGTGCCCAGTGAGGACCACTGGACTCCGCCCTCCAAGCACTAGCCCCATGCCCGATGTACTGCACAAGTAGCGCAACACCCTCTTCGCTGCAGCCATATGCTCTGGTCGGTGTCTCCCAGGAGCAACATAGCGTGCGAGAATGCTAAGAGGGTATGCAAGGTCAGGTCGTGTGCAGGTCATCAGGTACATGAGGCAGCCAACAAGCTCTGGGTACGGGCCACTCGACTCTACGGACTCATCCGAAGGCAGAGCTGAGAGCGAGTGGCGAGTAGGCAGAGGAGTGGCCTGAGGCGAGGAGTACGTGAAGCCGAAGCGCTGAAGGACCTGCTGCACCATGTGTGACTGAGTCAGGGTAATGGTGCGGCGTGCTCTGTCCCGGGTGATCTGCAAGCCAAGGTAGCTGCGCAGTTCACCCATGTCTGTGCACGTGTGTCTCTTCTGTAGCTCGGACTTCACGTAGGCGAGTCCAGCAGTGTCAGCTGTGGCAAAGACCAAGTCGTCGACGTACACGAAGATGTAGAACGGCGGCAGAGAGGTGTCGATGCGCAGAAACAGCGACGAGTCGGCAGTAGAAGGAGCAAACCCAAGTGCCGCCAGCGCAGTCTTCAGTGTGTCGTGCCACTCACGTGGCGCCTGGCGGAGACCGTAGACTGGATGCCGGAGACTCCACTGGGTACCAGGAGGGAAAGACCCAGTGAAGCCAGGTGGGCGACGCAGCCAGATCTCCTCGTGCAGGCTGCCCTGCAAGAAAGTTGTGCTGAAGTCGAGAGAGTGCAGCTCGTAGTCGCGGTGAGCAGCAACGTGCAGCAGTACCCAAAGAGTGTTCATCTTCGGGGTGGGGGAGAAGGTCTGAAAGTAGTCAACTCCCTGCTGCTGACTGAAGCCACGAGCAACGTAACGCGCCTTGAAGACAGGCGGAGAATCCGGCGGCCGCTTCACCCTGAAAATCCACATGCCAGTGACTATGTTCGCCCCAGGAGGGGGAACAGCGTCAACGTAGGTGCCTGTGGACTTCCAGGAAGCCATCTCTGCATCCATAGCTGCCTGCCACTGAGAGGAGTAGGGACCCTCTATCGCCTCCGCGTAAGAGCGCGGAGTCGGGATGTCTAGTGCATCCGGGTCTCCCTCAGGGGCGAGCAGTACAGACGCGAGATGAGGTGAAGCGGCGGCCAGACACTGGAACTCCTCCTGCCTGTCCTCAAGGACGTCCGTGCCAAGGGCACACTCACCCCCGACGGACGGAGGACAGGCAGACTCAGACTCAGCGACAAGACTAGCAGCGTAGTCTAGACGACAGCGCGCAGCAAAGGAGGAGGACGCTGACGCAAACCGCGACCACTAGTGCGTGCAGGACGAACAGGCGACGCAGGACGAGACGCAGGCTCACGATGCTCAGTAAGACCTCTTGTCGGACCAGCGTAGGGAGAAGGAGCAAGCAAATGGGAGGAAGGCTGTAGCTGTGACTGGGATTGGACAAGCTGTGGACCCTCTAAGGGAGGAGGAGGAGGACCAGGAGAAGGTGTAAGACCAAGAACCTGCTGCAAGAGCGGAACGAAGTACGGTCGGGGCCGCGTGGCGACGCCAGAAACAGCAGGGACAGCACAAGTACCCGAAGAAGGAGTACCCGCTCCAGCACCACCTCCAGCAGCACCTCTAGTAGCTCCAGAACCTCCAGCAGCACCACCAGGAGCACTGCCAGTCGGACCGCCTGCGGCAGTCCCAGCGCCAACACCCTCAGCAGCACCAGCTCCAGGAGAACCCTCAGACCCAGCAGCTCCAGCACCCACAGTACG